GGTAACTTGTAATCTGTAACCTATTACATTTCCAAAGAATACTTCCCAACACTGTGTATATATATATATATATATATATATATAATATTGCGAAAGTATTCAAAGTATTGGGTTCGAGCCCAGGCTCTAGCTGGGCCACTCAAGGACATTCACAGAGTTGTCTATAAGCCACTCTAGCTGTGTGTTTAGGTTCATTGTCCTGTTGGAAGGTGAACCTTCTGCCCAGTCTGAGGTTCTGAATGCTCTGAACTGGGTTTTCATTAAGACTATTTCAATATTTTGGTGCACTGAGCTTTTCTTCAACTCTGATGAGTCCCTCAGTCCCTGCCGCTGAAAAACAGCCAGCTGGGCCACTCAAGGACATTCACAGAGTTGTCTATAAGCCACTCTAGCTGTGTGTTTAGGTTCATTGTCCTGTTGGAAGGTGAACCTTCTGCCCAGTCTGAGGTTCTGAATGCTCTGAACTGGGTTTTCATTAAGACTATTTCAATATTTTGGTGCACTGAGCTTTTCTTCAACTCTGATGAGTCCCTCAGTCCCTGCTGCTGAAAAAACAGCCCCACAGCATGAGGCTGCTACCAGCACACTTTACTTTTGGGATGGTACTCTGCAGGTGATGAGCAGAGCTGGTTTCCTTCCAACATGATGCTTAGAATTGAGGTTCATCAGACGCATATGATCATGGAGCTCAACTAGAATGATCATAAGTTTCTTGGTCACCACACCAAAGCTCTTCTCCATCAATTGCTCAGTTTGGCCAGGCGGCCAGCTCTAGGAAGAGTCCTGGTTGTTTCAAATAAACTATCTAACTACAAGCAACAGCACAAATAAAATAAACAGTGATTTTCAGGTTTTTTCTAGGTAGGTCTAACATTAGTTTTTAGGTACAGAAATTGAATAAAGTAATGAAATGTAAAACAGCATTGCATATTTGACTGTATAAATGAAAGATTAATCTTTATTAAAGTTACAAAAGCTATTCAATCAAGAGCAGTGAGTGATTTCTTTGTTGTTGCTGTTTGATTAATATTAAGAAAGTGCTGTCACTTTAAAAGAATGCACTGATCCAGTGCACTGATACAGTACGTTCAGCCGGCTATGTCTGCTATAGGATACTTACCAAGACGGGCATTTTGACATAATTTTTGTGTGAATTTGTCCATTTAAACACAATATTCAAAAGAAAGCTTAATATTTGCTCGCGTTCTGAGGCGCGGGTTTGCGCGCTTCGGATGAGTGCACGCACAAATCTTCTCACTGCGCACGAGCTCGCGTCCTCTGGCTCTTAAATGTTTAAACTGGCAAAGCTTAAACGAGTTTAGCTTAAACACAGATATCAACGTGTGCTGTTCAGGTCTCACCTGTTCGCGCGCACTATCAGCACCCGGGTGATGACGGAATAAATACTCATATTCAAGCATACGGCATTCGCATTGATTGCCAGTGAATGGTTTGTCCACGTTTTTTTCTCATCGCTGTTGTTGTAATGTCCATGGATCCCTGAATGCTCATCCATCAACAGAAACATATATTAGCCGAACCCTGTTTGTTTTACGTGTTATTTATAGCAAACCATATTACAGATGCGTTGTCAGATTTAAGTTGAACCGCGGTCCTAATGCGTGCCGAACCGTGTGTGGAGAACCGTTCGATTTTTTTCCGCGAACCGTTCTACCCCTAATATATATATATATAGCAATTAAGCAATTAAGCGATTGGTCTGCAATCAACTATGGTCATACAGTCTATGTAGTACATGGTTTATACAGTATGTGTGTAGCATGTATAATTGTTGAAAGTATATTGTTTAATTTAGTTTTTTTTAAGGTTTTATTGGATGTAAGTGAATATCAGCATATAAGATTATTTCAGCTGTGCTGTACCTTGCTCAGAGTCAGTGGAGATGGTGGAGCCCATGCTGTCAGTGCGAATGCGCTCTAAGCCCTGTACAGAGAGCTGCTCCAGGCGCCGTTTGAGGTAGCGATGTTCTCTCTGCAGTTGCTCCTTCATGTTTAGAGCCTTCCTGTCCTGTTCCTCCAGCTTCTGCAGAGCATAAGTTTCCACTGATCAAACCACAGAGCACAGAAACACCACACTGCATGACATGTATCATCTATCATTGCCTAGAGCATGCACAATGCAAGAAATCCACAGTTTTGTGAGCTAAAAAAGGGAAACAATCACATTAACAGAAAGACAGATCTATGCTGCATGACAGGAAACCAGGCAGGTTGAGCTGAAATACAGTGTATCAAACAGGAAAGAAACAAAATGGTCAGCAGACACATGGTACTGGATTTTCTTTGTCTTGTCTCTTTCACACACTTTAAGTGACAGTTTGTTGAACACTTTCCATTCCACTGAGGCTTACACCCATTTTAATTAGACAGAGATAAATCAGTCAGTGACATAAAAAGTGTCCATGATAAAGAAAAGAAAGCTCTTGTTTTTTGTTTAAAAAAAAAAAAAAAGTACTTTCAAGAAAAGTAAGTTTCAGTTTAATGACTTTCAAGATGTTATGTGGTGTACCCAAATAAAAAGTAACCTTGAAAACATGTTACTGTACACAACTTAATTAGTATGTTAAAAAAGAGATCTTATTTCAAGTCATTTTTATTTTTATTTATTTATTTTACAAATATCATGAATTATTCATTCATAAATATCATTTTGTTTTTGGGAAGTCACACCACATAGCATTTTACAACCTAAACTTAGCTTCCCTTGTCTTAAAAAGGTGAAATTTTCTTATATTTTAAGAGAGATTTTGACCTTAACACAAATTCATGAGGGTCTGCAGGGCACCTCTCTATGGTATCATTTTCTGTTCTGCTGTTTTGCTTTTTTCCCTTCATGCTTATGCATGTATAGATGCCCCATTCGACTGCTCCAGGAGCATAGACGCGGCCGCCATCTTGGAACGGTCAACTTGACGTCATTCACCATACGGTAGGTTCGCACAGAGCCATTGAGCCGTTCTGTGCAGGATTGTGGCATCTTTCGAATATTCAGTGATTACTATGGTGAATGACGTCAAGTTGACCGTTCCAAGATGGCGGACGGCTTATGTATAGCAGCCCATAGAAACAGTAGCTAATGAGGCATCTACGTTGGCATCTATGTTGGTCGCACTACATAACTTTGATTTGGCAGATGAGTTGTTTTTAAATAATAAGCAATAAAACGGTTTATTTTCTAGAATTTCATTCTTTTAATAAGTTTTTTCCCCTGATGATATCAGGACAGTTGTATCACACTAAAATATTTTCTTCATAGTACCACACAAAAATATCAATGTGAATCTTAATTCAGCAATTGCCTCATATAATGCTGCAATGATTCAATGATTTTAAGCTGGAGTAAATTACCATCTCAATCATGTCAGTAACTGTGGGTCATTGAGTTGCAACATGGAGAGTGACATAAACTTCCTGTAGACAGTTCCTGATTAACTTCCCTTCTCACTGTAACTGCTTTAAGCTGCTCTAACCTCTTTACTGCTTTGCAAACAGAGATACTGTCAGAAAGATGCTGATTTGTTTGTACCTTGATGTGCATTTTGGCGCGTTTGAGCAGGCTCAGTGTGGTGTGACGGGTGCTATCAGGACCCAAAGGCACAAGCTGTTTCAACTGTTCCAGGTACAATCGCAGTTTGGCACGTCTGCAATAAATAAAGAACAGGTTGGAGTGAAGTATTACCCTGGGATAAATTCAGAACTTTCAGTATGCTGCTGTGGGCTGCTAACAAAAAGGCTGCTGGTTTGAAGCCATGCAGGCATGACTGAGGAACTAGATTAATGAGATGTGATTGCAGCTTTATGTAAGAGGACTGGTCCTATGATTGATTTAAAAAAAAAAAAAAATCACCAAAACTCTACAAAAAAGACTCTGCAGATACTAAGGATATGTCACGTAATACATTTATATTGACAGGGGCATAGAAAACAGAATTGAGGGGGACAAAATCGTTCAGTATAAAGGCCCTTTCACACCAAACCAAAAGTGAAACAAACCATTGGTCTATTAATATCATGTGCAAAATTAATCTTTTGTATATTTTGTAATTAATACTACCATATAGATGTAAAGCAAATTCATGGCTTGTCAAAACAAGTGGATCGACACAAACAGTGAGAAGTCTTAATGCTGTTCTACTCTATATCAGCAATCTTAGACCTTAGTTAAATTTGAGGACTGGAACTAACTGCAGCTCAACATAGTGGCTGTAGTAAAGGAAGTCCCACGTTTCATCTAAAAGAGGCAACAGCTTTTCTGGAAAGCATCAGCTTTTTTTTTTTTATTGATTAATTTATGCTAAAGAAGAAAATAAATTATATTAATTGTTCTTAATTTTTATCTGTGATTTGACATGTTATTGATATGGTAAGACTTTTCCATCTTTCCAACGTAAAGTAGATAAAAATATCTGTAGATCGAGTTACCAAGGCGGTTGCAGAACAAACTGACTTTCCAGAAATAGACTTTGCCAGAGTCCATCAGAATGAGGCGACTCAGGCAGACTGGGGCTCTAATCTGGAGGAAGTGACCCTTTTTGGAGAAAGAGACCACTGACTGTAGTGTGCTTAGCTGGTGTGGGCAAAGCCAGTCCTTTTACACCTCTCAAAAGACAGAAAAATTTTCATACTGTATATGACTGACTCTCATGTGAATATCCACACACAACTTTATAGCCAGTTCTCAAAAGCACAAAAACATCTTCATCTGCAACAAATCGTTACTTGCTTACAAAAGTGAAATGGAAGTGGATGTAAATGTATCTCTATCTCTGTGGACTTTTTGAGCTATACCTAACCTGTGAAGCCTCATGAATGACTCTACAATGGCCTTGACACAAGCACACCTAACAAAGTTACACTTATTTGTTTTTACTGTGCCTCCTCTTCATTGTCAAAGCGATCTTAAAGAGCCTTGCACTGTTTGTGGAACAAAAATTAATGAAGTTCACAACTATGTAACTAAAAAGTAAAATGTAAAAAAAAAATTACATTTATTTAAAATAAAGGCAATATTATTTGCCCAACTTTTGTTGGCCACATTTCTTAAAATACTGTGATGGAAGTAACTCAAGGTAAAAGCTTTGTGTTAAAATTGATGAACTTGCCAAGTTAACTTGTTTTGATACTTTTTGTGGTTCATCTCAATCAGTTTTATTCAATCAACTGGTACCACATAAGCTGCTACAACCAACAGATTGGGTCCAGTCTTATTTGCAACCATACTGTTGTACTGATCAAAATAAAATTTTAACAGCATTTAAAGAAAGCCTGGAGAGTAAATTATAATACAGTACCTACTAGCACAGAGGCTATTTGAAATAGGCCAGGTGTCACATCATCATAACTCTGTGAATGATTAACATGAGCTAAAATAACAGGACAGTGTGCTCGAGCTTCTCTTTCTGGTCCTTCGCTGCTTTTCACAGCAATAGTGCACATGTATAATTTCAATCAATAATGTAGCAAGACTTTTCATGCAAATACTTGTTGAAATTGCCCGTAAGGTTTCAACTCCTGAAAATCTGATCTCACCAAAAGTGCAGTGATCTGATTTCTGGGTCAAACAGTCAAGTCACTTTTATTTGTATGGCAGTATTCATAATACATAATGTTCCAAAGCAGCTTTACAGAACATGGGGCCTTAAAACCCCCACTGAGAAAGCATAATTTGACTGTGGCAAGGAAAAATTCCCCAAGATGTTAGGTAGGACAAGAAATCAACTTTGGAAGAAACTAGACTCGGTTGGGGTCAATTCAGTCAAAACAATAACAAATAAATGCAATTGACTTAAACTTGAGGTTTACATGGCTGAAAATTCACAAAGAAATTCCTGTGGGCTAAACTAATTTTACTAGATGCATAATCAGTTAGTGTACAACTGTACAAAGTTCTACCTGCAGATCTGTGAAAACACAGGAATGCTGGGTATCCTGCGAAGAACAGGCACAGCATGAATTCCACTATAAACACATACAGTAAAGTTGCAGGTTCAGGCACATCTTCAGTGAACTGGATTGCTGTGTTAACAGATTTTTGCTGACCATTCCAGCAGAGATTCCAGCAGAGAACTGTTTAATTTCTCAGACCATGTCGGAGATCATTCTGCTGCACTACATCCTGGTGTTTTTTGCATAGAGGAATGTGTCCTGTGTTAATGCTCCCCAAGATATGTGTCTGAGCTTCAGACAATCCACTAACTAATTAATTATTAAAATACACAGTTTTGCACATCCATGTGTAGACTTACATGTTAATGCCTTTTTTGATAGGGTATCATTGCACAGTATAATTAAACGAGTCTTCCACTGACAAGTTGCTGGTAAACTAGCTAAAGACTTGCTTTCAAATACTGAGCATTTAAAAACCATGCTATACCCAGCTATTGCACCTCCTTCTCAAGCTCCTGACGAGTCAGAAGAGTGAAGCAACTCAAGAAAAGGATGAGGCAGAAAAAAGGAAAGAGCAGACATGAAGAGTGTGGAGGGTGTCTTCAGTCTCCCTCTTTGAGTAACAGATGGGCAAGAAATGGGCATGTTCTTCAGTCATGACGCCAGCAGCACATCATCACCAGTTTCCCAAAGCAAAATGAATCCTAAAACACGCCCTGAAACCCACATACAAAACTACAAACTGGATTTTTCGAGCCTCAAATCAAAAATCAAACACTCTCATTAAAACTATAGTATCTTTTAGTGTCTATGGTGTTACCTCTTATATTATACCCGTCAAGCAGTGATGCTTGCCTTAGCAAACACCAATAATAAAAAATAGAAAATAATAATGTATTCAACTCCATTGGCACATCCCAAAACAGTCTTGAAGTCACATATTAACTTGATTGATGTCCAGATATGTACAGGTAATCTTACACATGATTTCAGAAATAAACATAACTGTGGCTTGGAAACGTTTTTAAAAGACATTTTGTTTTCCTGCCTCCATTTCTTTGCTGATATTGACATATGTCATGGGTTTGTGGGCAGAACTCCACAACAACACTTTGAGCATCTCAAGTTCAAGTCCCACCTTGATGTCCTTTCCCAAACCCATTCCCTTTCTCCTCTTCTGTTGCTTTCTATTGCTACTCTATTGTCTGTTAAATAAAGGCTAAAAAGAGACAAAAACTGTTGCTTTCTGACATTGGCTGATAATCAGAGATTTGTCCTGTCAATAAGGCATTGAAAGGTTATAAGTGTTTTTTTTGTGTTTTTTTTAATAAATTGCAAACAGTGCAATACAATGCTCCAATCACAATATGATCCCTGAAGCTGTCAAAACCACATCTTACTGTGGGTATCAGATGCCTTTCTTTGTCTCATTCGACAAGGAAAACGCTCATTAAAACATGCACTTGGCAAAGCAGCACTGCGGTCATGAAGGAACATATTAGAATTATTATGTGCATAATTTCTTTGAAATTCACGATGGGTGCCAACAATTGAGGAAGGGCACTTTAACTTGGAAGATACTTTATACTTTTGATAACCTAGAGCATCAGCAAAGGCAGAACAAAACAAAGCTGGACTGACTTAAAACAAGAAAGGTTAAAATGTCTGAGTGGCCCCACAGATCTTAATCCAACTGAACATTATCTTAAAAAAAACTGCAGTTAACAAAACAATCCCCATGAAACTTGATAAAGCTTGAGAAATGTTGCCAAAAATGCAAGCAAGATCTCTTTGTGATTCACCAAAAGACACTGACAGCAGTGACTGCTGCCAAAAATGATTCTACCATGTATTTGCTTGAGTGGCAAGTATTGCTGATTAAATGTAATATTGCATGCTTGACATAAAATGCCAAAAGCATCAGAAGAAAACAAACAAACAGACACATTTTCCAAACACAGAGGATATGACCAGAGATCATGTTTTCATGGAACACTCTGAAATGGGCTGCATGTCAGAGGCCCTGTTTCCTTCTGTTATTAAGATGTTTTAACTCACTAAGGTGTTGTGATTCATTCACGAGCCAGAAATATTGTAATTATGAGTTCTTAGCACATAAATGACCTAATAAGCATTACTAAGAATTCTAGATGGTACATAAGTTGCTGATTTGTGATGTTGAAAGGAGTGTTGATTTGATCTGATATATAATATAGACAATATCATCTATACATCAATAATATATAGAGATCAGTGATCGGAAAGCAGGTCTGTAGTGAACTATAATGAATGATTTTGCAAGTTATTTTAATTCCACATGCTGTATTTCAATCATTTTAAAGGTGTGATGTACAGAACAGCTGATTCACAATGAATGTATAAATTAATTGCTTGACTTTCATGGTTGTTTAATGTAATGTTTAATGTTGTTTTAATACCATGCACAAATAATAGTTTTCTAAAAAATAATTTTGATCATTTTGAATTCAGATGTAGTTATTTATGGAAGCATATACAGTGGGGGAAAAAAGTATTTAGTCAGCCACCAATTGTGCAAGTTCTCCCACTTAAAAAGATGAGAGAGGCCTGTAATTTTCATCATAGGTATACCTCAACTATGAGAGACAAAATGAGAAAAAAAAAATCCAGAAAATCACATTGTAGGATTTTTAAAGAATTTATTTGCAAATTATGGTGGAAAATAAGTATTTGGTCAATAACAAAATTTCATCTCAATACTTTGTTATATACCCTT